CAGTGCTTCCATCTCTGTTCTTCCACTTATTCCTTGCTGTCTCTCGGGGGTCTGTTTCTCTTGTTGGGGTATATATTTTGAATTGAGCTTGTCTGGGAGGCCTTTGGCCCTCCTCCTTTTATCCCTTTATTTTTCATACTGTTGACATTTTTTTTTCCTTTTCTCCTTTCTCTCCCCTCCTATAGACCTCTGTTAGTATCCAGTCCCCTTTTGGGTCCTATTGATTTTAGTTTATCCTCCTTCCCCTTCTTCTTTTTCAGGATCCCCGGGGTTCTGTCCCCTGGGTGCCTCCCCCCCTCAGATTTACTTCACAGTTCCAATCAATTATAATAAGTTATTTCATTTAAATTTCCTTTTTCATTTCATCTCAGTCACCATCCTGATCTCTTCTTCCTCCACACCAGATGATTCAGTCTTCAGATGGGTCTTCTCCTGAATGAGTGAGATGTCTGCTTCCCTGGTTGTTGGTACAGCTTCCGGGGGGGCTCCCTTGGTGCCCCTACAGGGGACCCAACAGCTCCAGCCTGATGGTATCCAGGAGGGGGGGTGGTAAGGAGAGGGGAGAGAGGTCCGCCACCACTTCCTGCACTCCTTCACACCGGCCAGCTTCTCCCAACTCCCAGGACTCCTTTGCAGCGAGTCATGTGACCGCTCGGCATCCACGCTGGATCTCTGCTCTCCTCCTCCTCAGCCTCAGCCGCGCTCTCACTCTCTGTCATCGCTGGCCGGCCAGCCCAACCTGGAAGGGTCCGCACTCCTCGCTCTCCTCCACAGGGGACCACTCCTGCTCCCAGGTAGGTCACGGCAGCTGCTCCTAGGGGATTTCCTCCTGTGCTGTAGTGGGACATTGGAGACGCCTGGTGCTGGGAGATCTCACATTGATCTGCCGCTTGGCGCCATGTTCAGGCTCCTCCTCTGCAAACTAGTTTCCTTCATTTATTGATAAACCCCATAAGACCAATGAAGTGGGTGTAAAGTGGAAGCAGTGGATGTGCAGAGAATAGGATTTGGAGCCCCGAGCTCTTTATCTCTGAATGTCTCCACATATTTGTAGTGTATTTGTGATGATTTCTGTGCACACACAATAGGACAGCGCTGTGACACATAATGCTCTTCTAGATGACAGGGAATCCTTCCCTTTGTTACAGCAGCAGTCCGCTAGAAGGTTTTTGTAGGTTTGGAGTTGTTACACATAGCGCGGGTTTTATCCATTTATAGTGATGACATCATTGCCCAAATCTGGGGGTCACCAGCCATTTCCACCCTTTACTCCCAGCTGGGGGGCTTTGTATCCATATACCAGATGTTCTACAGGACTAAATCTGCAATCAATGTTACTGCAAAATCAAAGGGGCCAAAACCCCTCCCCCGAGCAGTCATATATTTCTGTCCCCCTTGGTGGGAGTGGAGGTGACCCCTCTATAAGGATCTACAGTCCATACACACCCAGCACAAGGCCGGGGTCACACTACCAGACGCTTCTCGGGGCTGCAGTTCCTCTGAGCTCCACAAGGTGGGGATCTCACTTCTACCCAGACAGGAAGTCTCTATGGAAGACAGACAGGAAGTGATGTCAGGTACAGACAGGAAGTGATGTCAGGTACAGACAGGAAGTTCCAGGGGAGAGGTGAATCAGGAGGAAGAGAGAGAGTCCACATTCCTGGATCTGGCAGCAGAGGAGGTAATACGTAGATGAACCCCTTCAGGGGGAGGAGTTGATGATAATATATTTGCTCCCAAAGCTGGCCTACATGGTTCAGTTTTATCGTTCAGCCAGCGGGATGACCATAAAAACTGAAGTGATTCCCCCATCCACACATTGGAGGTGGATGGGGGAATCCTCCCCGCTGCACTCTTGTATTCTGACAATGGGGGGACTCCTCCGCTCTCAGAATACACAGATCAGCACTGAAGCTATTGGCTGCAGCCGCTGGGGGAGTGGCTTTTATCCGGCAGTGGCCACACATGGATGGAAATGTGAGCGATCCCTGCTGAACCAGCTGAATTTCCATGGATCTATGGTCACCTTCAGTGACTTCCTCCTCCCCTCCCCCTCATCTCCTTCATGATGGAAGTCATGCTGAGATCATCTCCCATTGGCTGAGCAATATTCTCATTTGTCTCTCAGCTCCTTCTTGCTATTCCTCGTCCTGCCTGTTGTTTCCTTGGATTGATTTTCTGTGTAGTGACCCCGGCTTGGTCTCTTGGATGCGCTCGTCTCTGTTGCTTGCCCTGACCTTTCTCCTGATTCCTGGATCTCCTCCTCATCTCTCCTCCATATCCTCTTACACAGCTTTTCTCCACACCTGCAGTGACCCCAATGGGGGGAGACAGGAAACTTTCCTGGCACCAGCACATCTGGAGAAGTCTGTCTGGGATCATATGACATCACATTGCCTCCACCTCCCTCCCTGATAGAAGAATGAGAAAGAAGAAGAAGATTCTAGAAGTCACCAGAGAGATCACTGAGCTGCTGACAGGAGAGGTGAGCGGTGCCGGGAATTCTGGGACATTCTCCAGTAACAGACAAGGGATGTGTCTGGATGGTGACTGTATCATTGTGTGTGTAGGTTCCTATAAGGTGTCAGGGTGTCACTGTCTATTTCTCCATGGAGGAGTGGGAGTATTTAGAAGGACACAAGGATCTCTACAAGGACGTCATGATGGACAATCAGCCGCCCCTCACATCACCGGGTAAGAGGAGACTTTATTGTAAAGGAGAGAGCAGTACGGAGGATCCACCTAGATCCCCCATCATCTGATAAACACATAGAAACAATGGATTCAGTCAGTGTGTGTGTTTCCTACAGATGGATCCAGTCATGGGAACCCACCAGAGAGATGTCCCCGTCCTCTGTATTCCCGGGATTCCACACAGGAAGGTCACACCATCCCTCACCATCATCAGGTAGATGATGACAATTATTGGTAGTTGTGATTTATACACAGCATGTTTGTTACAATGAATGTTTTATTATATCTTTCAGAGTGGAATCCTCGGGGATGATAATATTGATGTTAAAGAAGAGTATAAAGAGGAGGATGAGGAGTATGGAGTGATGGAGGAGTTTTCAGAAGGACACAAGGATATGATGGAGCCACCTAATACCAGGAACCCACCAGAGAGATGTCCCCGTCCTCTGTATTCCCGGGATTCCACACAGGAAGGTCACACCATCCCTCACTATTACAAGGTTGGTGGGATGGAGCATCTAGAACATGGACTTGTAGAGACAATGTGTGGATTTTTTTTGTGATTTTTTTTGAGACTATATTTTACAGATGATTTTTTTTTTGGTTTTAGGATGATTAGAGTGAGATCCAATCGATATAAAATTTGAGGTGAAAGCAGAAGAAGAAGAGGCGTATGTGAGGGATGATCAGCAGTCTATGGAGGAGGATGGAATAACGGGGACATTTATAGAGGAGGACACTCCTACAGAGATCAGCACAGGTGGGTCATGAACACTAAATCCATTCCTCCACCCATACTGCTCACTGATTGGTCCAGAGTAGGGCGGGGACTGGGTGATATCAGCCTGTAATCCCCTGGTCACTTTCCTGAGCTGTGTTCCCCGTCCTGTATTCCTGGATTTCTCTCGGATAATCTTCCTTCTCTGTGCTGCAGACACAATTTATGTATCTAGACTGGATTTATGGAGGTTCTGGGGTTCAGCTGGCAGCAAAATGTTCATTTTTACTCTAAGCATTGCATAATGTAGGCACCCAGGACATGTGACTGGGGTCTCCTGCCTTGTGGGTCTGTACTCTCCAGGAACAATTCTCTCCAGGGTTCTCTCTGTGGTCTGCTGGCTGTGCCGGGTGGAGGGATATGTCTGTATAGTCTCAGACCCAAGTCACTGAGTGCAGTCTCAGGAGATGGGAGGCAGCGGTGTGGGGATCTCTGCAACTTGTCTAGCATTTAATCTTCCACTGTGTACCAATATTATGAGTCCTGGACCTACATAGTTACATAGTTAGTCTGGACCCCTGAAAAACAGACACTGACCCCTGCTATATATACACATACTCCTGACCCCTGCATATATACTGTTGATTCTCTTCTGTTGTTACACCCTGATTTCCTCCCACCCCTGACATTTTATATCGGATGATGTGCTCCAGACTTTTACATGATGTGATAGCACAGACTTTTACATGTGATAATAATGTGATAACATCCTCCAACTTTGGACCCTTAAACAGAAAGTGATAATGAGGGAGGAGTCAATACCCCAATGATGGTGGTCTTCAGGATCAGTCCAGTCTTCATCTTGGTTGTTCTCCCCCATCCTCACTCTCTGACCTCTGGTGGGGCTCAGCCCCGCTGTTCTTCATGACTAAATCATGGACTAAATAAGGAAGTGCAGTACTTCTTGTGTTGGGAAGATGGCGATGAGTGATAGAGGGGGTGGGGACCCTCGTCCTATAATCCCCTCATCACTGTCCCTCCTATAAAAGACAGTTCTGGTTGTTTCCTCACTCTCTGACTAAGGTCCATGAATAAAGAAATGACCTGGTAGGAGATCAGAGGAGCCATTTCCTAGTTCCCTTGAGGGTGGAATTGTAAGCTCCTCAGAGACCAAGCTGCCTGATGTGGGCGGAGTCCTGGTTTGGGGGGAACCAATCAGCTCCTGTCTAGTAATCCTCTTTGTCTTTGTATTTTAGTCCATGGCCGGGAGATGAGGAAAACCTCCGAGGATTGTCTCACTTTGTCTCCAGACTGGAGTAGAAGATGAGGACATCACACAGTATAGTCCAGGAGAAAACCCGGCTCCCTCCAATGTCCATCCGGCACCACCCAGTGTAGATGGACCATCGGATTCCTCGTATCCTGAGGAACCTCAGGCTGTGCGGGACCGGGCCGGCCTTCCAACAGGGAAGAGCTTCTCCTGTCCTGAGTGCGGGAAGGGTTTCCATTGTAAATCTCACACAAGCCATCTTAATGTTTTTCATAAAAGATCTCACACACATCAGGAGAAGCCCGTATTCCTGTCCAGAGTGCGGGAAATGTTTTTCAAAAAATCCCATCTTTATAGACATCAGAGATCTCACACAGGGGGAGAAGCCGTATTTCTGTCCTGAGTGCGGGAAATGTTTTTCAGACAAAAACTAGTCTTCACACACATCAGAGATCTCAGTCCTGAGTGAGGGAAATGTTCCTCTCTGAAGTCCTGTCTTCCTGTACATCAGGGGTCCCACACGAACCTGGAGGTATATTAGTGCCTTGAGTGTGGGAAATGTCTTCTAGATGAATGTTGCTGGACATCCCTGCTCTCATGTGGGGAAGAAGCACACCCTGATATACACCTCAGATATACTCCATGGCTGATCTTCATCATGGAAGAAACAGTTCATAAGGAGATCAGAGGTCCCCAAAGACATGGATGAAGCATGGGACCGGGTTGGCCATTGATGGCAGGAGAAGAATAAAATGGAGTCCTGCCCTGTGATTGGCATTCTGTGAGTACATTCTGTGGTGGGAGATTTCACAAACACTTGGAGGTCTATGGAGAACAATGTTGAACGGATGTGACCAGCATTCTCCATCTGGGAGGAGTTTTGGCCATATTTTATTTCTTATGATCATTGGCTCCATCTAGTGGCCATAATATCATATTGGGCTAGTTTTACTGATGAGATATTTCAGAAAAATCACCTCTTTGTGGCCACTAGATGGAGCCGGCGATCATAGGAAATCACTGTGTTACTTAACATATGGCTGGGGACTGCTCACTGCTGCAGCCATTTTGGGGGAGAGTTCAATCCACAATTGCATGAGTAACTCTGTATAGCCTGGAGCTCACCCTGCACAATGTCTACTGCGTCACTCCTCACTCCCATCCCGGACATATTGTAAATCACTTGCCATGCACATGGTCAACACCGCAAAACAATGGGTTCCAGCGCCGGATGCTGTAGTTCATGGGACCCGCGGCTCCCGGGATCTCGGCTCTATAAAGCCTGCCTACTGCCTCGGGGACAGCCGCTTTATAGCCTTGGGGTGCCCCTTATCTTCCTGCAGTGGCCCCAGCATGGGGCGGTACCTTCTGCCAGCGCAGTCCGGCCATGAGTCGGCGGCCAGAGCGGAGGGATGTGCCTCTCCCCCTTCTGCAGCCAAGATGGCCGACGATGCCTGTCACAGCATGGACACAGGCACAGAGCGGGATCTCAACGTGGGAGCAGGTATGACAGAGCCTCTCTCCACCATCCTCACTGCCTCTCCACTCCCTCCTGGCATTGATAACACTCCTGAGCAGTATAATAAAATAGCTCAGGCAGTGTCCTCTATTCTGCTCCCAAACATCACACAGGCTGTAGATAGAGCTGTCAGCTTGGGCATTGAACAGCTAAGAAAAGACTTAGGCGATCATTCTAAATGTTTATCTGAGGCTGAGCAGCGCATATCGAATTTAGAAGATGAAGTCCATTCAATGCAAGCGGTTACGTCACAATCCAATCGTGTACAGCAAAGTATATTGGATAAAATCGATGATCTGGAAAATCGATCATGTAGGAATAACCTACGCATTGTGGGTCTCCCAGAATCCTTTAATACAGGTTCTCTCCCCGATCTCTGATCAGCGCGGATCCCTGCAGCTTTGGGCCTATCCTCCTCTTGTCAGGTAGAGAGAGCTCATCGCCTGGGCCCCCCATCTAATGAGCGTCGTGCGGCACGCTCTGTGATTGTCCGCTATCTCAACTATGCTGACCGTGTAGCAATCCTCACCTCTTTCCGTAACTCCCGTTCTCTGCAAATTGAGGGTCACAAACTTCTACTATTTGCGGACTACTCACAGGAAGTATCACGTAAACGGAAAGCATTCCAGCACGTCTGCGCCACTCTTTACCAGAAAGGAATAAAGTTCACACTAGCATATCCGGCCACGTTACGTTTCACTGCACCATCTGGGGACTCCAAATCTTTCGTTCATCCTGAAGAAGCCCACCAATATCTGCAAGACCATCTAAATGACGGGGATCAGTCGTTGCAACTCGTGGATAGGAATTTTGGCCCCAGTGACCAACGCAGTCCTCGCAAAGACCCCCCTAAACGCACCAATCCAGGGTCCTCCAAATCTCGCCCGCCTTTGAAGGTCTACAAGGCCATCGGTCTCTTCACAACTTCTTCAAGCTTATCTCCTGGTCCAATTGGTTCAATTGGAAGTGTTTTCAATTTTTTGAGTGGTTTCTCTTGCTATTTTCTGAAATGCTAACACACTCCAAAGTCTGAGTTTATTGGCTGTTCAGCACGAGATGTTTTTTGTACTATCTGATGTTGAGGTGTTTCCTCGTACTCACCTGTTTCAATGTTACTGTTTAATTTATCTATATGTCTGATTTTATTACTTCCTTACTCCTGCGTGTGCCTGGTTCCATATTTCAGCAGTGCTGTGGGTGGTGGGGTGCTGGAGCCGTTGTTGGGAATAAGTTTGAGGGACGCCCTCCCTCATCTCAACAATTCTACTTTGGTCCCTGGGGCAGGCCCCTCCCCTGCTATTCCCGGTCACACTGGTATTGGTGGAAACAGCATGCGGAATGTCGTGAAGTCCTGTATACTGTACTGGTATATTGTATGTTTTGATTTTTTTGTTGGGCTCAATTAGGGCCCTTGCTCCTGTCTCTGTCTTCTCTTCATTCATCTCTTCTTTTCCATCTCTATTTCTTGAGAGAACTCCTTTGTCCTCTGAGACCAGATTCCAACCACCCCCAGTCGTCCAACACAACAGCAGCCCATACGTTCCTACATCTCTAATTGGTAAGATTCTTATCCTTTTATTATATCTATCACAACAGTTAAAATGACACGTATTTTCTCTTGGAATGTTAAGGGCCTCAGATCTCCTCACAAACGCATGGCGATACTAAGACACTTGTGGCGATTACGCGCGGATATAGCTTTGCTCCAAGAAACTCATCTTACCCAATCGGATTTTGCCCGTATGCGTGCGTAAACTCTGGGTGGGTCATGTCTTTGGCTCCTCCTCCTTAAATAATAAAGCAGGGGTACTTATTCTTATACACAAACGGCTTAATCCTGAATTAATTTCCATGGACGTTGACACTGAGGGTCGTTTTATAGCAGTACATATTAAACTCGGATCCCAAGAGCTGGTTCTCTCCAGCTTTTACGCACCCAACTCCCCGACGAGACAGGTTTTCCAAGGCCTCTCGTCACGGCTGGTGGCCTATATTCACAAGCCACTCGTCATGGGAGGGGACTTTAATTCCGTTATGCATGAGCAGGAGGATAAATCGCAGAGTGCTGACCGTGGTCTTCGCTCCTCTCAGGTCTCCCGTCCAACACCTACTTTACTATGTAGCTTCGTTGAAGCAATGCAAATTACAGATATATGGCGCTTAACCCATCCGGACGGCAGAGATTACACTATCTATTCTCCCGTTCATCATTCTTTATCTAGAATCGATTATATTTTCTGTAACTCCGTATTATTGCAACATGTTGTATCATCTACCATACATGACATAGCCATATCGGATCACTCTCCAATTTCTATTACTATAAATTTTCTAGACCCTACGCCACATCCTAGGTTATGGCGCTTCCCCTCGTTTCTGGAAAATAATCAGGAGCTCTCCCGGAAGTTACAAGACACCTAGGCAGACTTCCAAACTACTAATGCGGCCCATGTGTTTCCAATCCAAATTTGTTTTGGGATGCGGGGAAGGCGGTGTTACGTGGTAAAATCATTGCTTTTACGTCCGCTTATAAAAAAAGAATTTTGCACAATTTTACTGAGGCCAGTAACCTCTTAGACTGACACAAAGAGTTTTGGCAGAATCCAATACGCAGGAAAACAGGAAAGCTTGGGCGGGTGCTAAAAACCAATTTGACACATGGGCGGCAGCTCAGAAAACACTATATCACTCACACCTTGACTTACAATATCACAGGTTTGGTAACAAACCAGGCAAACTACTGGTGCGCCTGTGTAGGAAGCCTTTCACCCCCACACAATTCACCTCTCTTAAAGACTTAAACAATCTCCGGAAGAGATCATATCTATTTTGGAAAGCTTTTATGCAAAGTTATATGGGCCGGATCCTATTGACCAGGAACAAGCACACTCCTTTCTGGACAGTGTAAATCTACCTCAAATAGATCCAATAGCGCTGCAATCTCTAAATGCCCCTATATCACAGGCGGATATTTGTCTAGCTATTAGATCTTTAGCTAATGGTAAAGCTCCGGGTCCGGACAGGTACACCTCCGAATTCTTTAAATTTATGGACAAAACCCTCTCTCCTACTCTACAGCTGGTTTCAGTCCATCCAGGAGAGCGGGGTATATCTCCCATTGGCTTCGCAAGCCCATATTAAATTAATAGCTAAAAAAGGCAAAGACCCTTCGGATCCTGGATCATATCGTCCCATTTCCCTCCTAAACCTAGATGCAAAGATCCTTTCTAAAATCATAGCTAACCGTTTGGCCATTATTTTACCCTCGCTTATTCACCCTTCTCAAGCGGGTTTTATAAAGGGACGCTCGGCCACGTCAAATATCCACAAAGTGCTTACAGTTTTGCATCAGGCTAAAAATAATCCACTACAGGATCTAGCGATTGTCTCTCTTGACGCTGAAAAAGCCTTTGATAACGTCAGTTTTCAATGGCTCAAATTAGTTCTCACTAAATTTGGCTTTTCCGGTCCATTTACACAGTTAATTCAGGCTATGTATACTGCCCCAATGGCCCAGATAGTAGCGGCGGGAAAAATATCCAACCCTTTTCTATTACATAAGGGAACAAGGCAAGGGTGTCCATTATCCCCCCTGTTTTTCAATCTTGCATTGGAACCTCTAGCCCGTTTCTTGTTATTTCAATCACACCTCCATGGTGTTCCAATTGGTCAACAGGATCTTCGCTTAGCTTTATTTGCTGACGATATATTAATATTCACTTGTAACCCGACTCTAGATTTACCATATATCCAGACAGTTTTTGCAGATTTTCGGTGCTGTTTCGGGCCTCCGTATAAATAATACGAAAAGTGAGGTTCTTCCCCTATACCATGCTCGACTTCCTGTTTGGGCCTGCAACTCTCTCTTTAAAATGAATACTAAT